TGGAAAGAATAGATAATGGTAAGATTTTAACTAGTTCGTCAAGATAAGAGAAATATTGCCTCTTTGGTCATGAACGCGAGATAACGTAAACGAGGTTGTACTTTCTAGTAATTTATTATTCATGTAGTTTTTCATCATTTTTCTTAAAGCGTCCCTGTGCTCTGATCATTGTCCATTTTACCATTATTGTGACGAAATAACAGGCATTTGTCAATGTACAAACAAGGATCGTGAATTATGTCAACTCGGTAAGTAAGTGAGAGAAAGTGAGTGGAATCAGAAATATTTATCGTATTCACAGTTTTACTCGTCAGTACTTTCTGGTTTTTGTTGTTTTGGTTTTTTGGCTTTTCAATATGTTTTCGAGGCGAGAAAGGTTTGTTTACATGCATATAATAGAACTGAGATTAGTGAAGATGACAGTGATCATTACGGTTATAAACACTACCTATCAAAAAAGGATCCAGTCTTACATTGCGTTGCCACCGTTGTCATTTGGAAACTTTTAATCATGCATTATGCCTCTCTTTGTATGGGAGTTTGGATTTTGTTTACAAATTTTTGGATAAACGATTTTTCATCCTAAGTTGATCATTAATGATAGCGCAAGCAAAAGCCATATACCCTGCATCTGAAAATAAGCTTCGAGCTAATATTTCGAAGGTTCAACGTCACGTGGAGTGTTATTACCATCATCTTTATCGTTTCTATGCATCGTTACTGAAATTTGTATTCAATTTATCTTGTCGTTTCAGTAAAGTTTTACGAGAATTCTTCCCATCTGTGGTTGCTTGAATCAGTGGAAGATATCAAAGATCTCCGCGCACCTGGCTGGGGGCAAATTAAGGGAGGAGTTAGTTTTTCTGGCGATGGCTTGGTGACAGATGGAGTCAACGGTGAGGTACTACTGAACCATGAGGGGGACACTTGCGCAACAAAGTCTGCTTATTCCAATTGTGATGATCCTGGTTTCACCGTATCGTTGTCATTAAAGCCTTGGTACAAAACCGACGCAGCGCGACAGACTTTTTTCAAATCCCGCGGCAAGTTCATTGTTTATCAGGAAAGAGGGAAGAAATCCTTGATTATCCGTGTGCAGGGTAGTGCTCAGTATTGTCTGAAAGAAATAGCGATGCCTGAAAAAATCTGGTCTCATTTGGCTTTCACGTACAAACCATCTGGGCCAAAAACACTTACAATTTATAGGAACGGGAAAAGAATCGATGAATTTGTCAGAGATGAAGGTTGTGAAATGGACGGGAAGCCAGAGTTTTCTTCGTCTCATATGTCATTAGGCTCTGAAGGAGGAGTGTTCGCCAAGGCTCATTATTTTCTCATTGCCATTTGGAGACAGGTTTTGTCTGAAGAAAGAATAGCACAGATTTATTGCCGCATCCAAGGTGAGAGGATCTCTTTCTACCCCAATAAATACTCTATTTTATTTTTGATATTTCTTTATAATTTGTTTCTTTGTTTTATCTTGGTGCACTCGAAGAATGCTGATTTTTTGTTTCGAAATAATATGAAATACTATGAATATTAATGGCACAAGTACTTGTCATGCGAGTAATCTGATAATAATTTTTTACCTGAAAGCACTTGTGAGCAGCAGTGGTAGCCGTGATCGTATAGTGGTTAGTACATTGCGTTTTGGCCGCAATAACCCAGGTTCGAATCCTGGTCACGGCGCTTCTTGTTTTTATATATAATACGATTATTATTTTCTGGTCTTTGTTTTCTATTAATTTTTTTTCATATATTTCAAGCTGCGGTTATGTCTTCCTTCGTTTTGATTTTTGATGTCATGTTTCTTAGTTCTGTCTTCGGTCTTTTCCATCTTTCTTCCCTGTACTGCTTTCAATTTTCGCTTGTGACATTGCATCAAAAACGAGAAAACCATGAAAAAAATTAAAAGTTTATTTTCCTCTTCTTTTCCTAATTTCATTTTGATTTATGTAAATTTTTGTGCAGAAAAAAAACACTAGATAGCATAACAAGGAAACAGTCTTTTTTTATCTTTGACTCTCTTTTTCTTAGCCCTGTGGTACTTCATTTTCTACCTACATTGTGGCTTTGGTGATCTGAGTCCTTTCATAACGAACCCTTTAATCCCAGGAATATTTCGAATAAAAGAAAATCAATAGTATTCTGAATAAAAAGAAAAGAAAAAAAGAGAGAAATAACACAACAATCATATGCTATCTTAATCATTCCTTTGTATTGATCCATAGAGGAAACATACTTTTTAAGCTTTTAAATTTGTGGAATGAGGCAGTTGGGACGAAAATTTGCCACCTCTATTCTGTCAGCTCAAAGTTTTCATTTTAGTAAACCAAAACATGGAAATAAATTCTTCCGTGTCTAGCCAATGCCCATTATTAGATTCCTAACCCAAATTTCACTGCAGATTTGGTTCCGCTACGTTGCCGAGTTGTGGCTCGAATAAAAAATCAGCCTTGGAATGAAGATCTTACCTCACCAGAAACAGATCCATACAGATCAATGAAGAATTACATCATAAGCAATGTGAGTTGAACTAAAAACCGCCCCATTCTAAATTAAAGAGCCTCGTACCTCGTGAAAGTGTTGTTACTTAGCAACAATTTGTATGGTTATCTACTCGCGTTTATCAAAAGAATTTAAAGCTAATGCAATCTTGCACATGCCGCTTAGAAAACATTACGTTATGCATAAAAGTGCAACGCAGAAGCTTTCATTTGAATCGTCACACAATGCACGGTTTTCCTATAATTCTATTTAATTCGCTATTTTATTTGTTCATAGGTCACCAGGTTTTATGAGGGAGTCCGGGTTTCTATTAACGTAAACGAATTTAGGTTCGTATGGCTTCTCTACACACACGTGTGCATGCTATTTACTTATTTGAATAGGTACAACTTTAAATTTTGGCTAGTAGAAGGAGGCTGCCGGCTAGGATAGGGTAAACAGGATTAATTCTGTACTCGAGCCAAGTGGCCCTCCAGGTTTCCCTCGCATGAAGCGGCTACTTGGAGCACTACTCCCACTTGGTTGGAATGCTAGTCCAAATTTTGGCGAGTTGAAGGGGTCTGCCGGCCAGGATACTGATACTTTTATTTTTCCATGTAGGAACGGTAGCGTGATTGTAGATTTCACCATCGTTTATAACGTTAGCGACTACAGATGGATTGAAAAACTTAAACAGAGCATATCATCCACGGGTCTTCTGTACAACATGCCTCTGGAGCTGGAAGAACTTACAGCTGAAAACGGTTAACAGTTGCATTAGTCAACTCAAAATTCCTGTAAAATTTTACTTTAGAGGTAGAAGGTCGAAGTGTGCTAATGTTTTAACGCCTTGGGGCTAACTTGCTCTATTTGCCGCCTCTTATGTCACGAAGCATAGCTTACATTGATATACATTTTGCGGCATTTTAAAATTACAGCTAATGAAAGTGCTTCAACAGACAAAATATAAAAGGAAAGAGATGACAACAGGCCATTGAGTATTAAAAATAACAACTTATTGAACCAAGAAAATACGAGCAACTTGCTAGCTTGCCATTGGCTATAATAGTGCATCCGATTGGATGAGATGGTAGAACGAGTGTTTTTGACCAATCCAAGAGCAGTTGAGAGAAACTGATGCAACGCCAGCAACAGTAGATTTAAAATAGTTCAAGTAACTACAATTTAAAATAATTTAACTCCGACAGCGATAGTTTGATGCAGAACATTATATCCTTTCGTCAAGACGATATCACTTATAAATCGCTTTTCGAAAGCATGAAAGAAGTAGATATTGCAAAGAAGAGTGTTCTAAAACTTTTGACTTGGATTACGCTGACTTTTTTCATGGAAAGTCCAATCAGGACCGGCACTCAATTCAACGTGGCAGAAATGTGAAGAAATTATAATCAGCGGTATCACTAGCTTTACATTTTCTTCCTTCAGTTCCAGAAGTTGCCCCTACAAATGTAAGCGTGTTTCTTGTGGAAGATACAAGAATTCATATCAGATGGAACAATCTTAGCCTCCCACCGAGTATTTCCGCCATATTCCAGGGCTATAAGGTTTTCATCAGACCAGCGGGAAGCGCAGACGTCATAGTTACCACCGTAAATGACCTCGTTAACTTCGTTACTATAGAAGGACTAGAACCATTGGTAACGTATAACCTAACTGTGGCTGGATACACACAGAGTGGAGTTGGAAGGGAAAGCGAGAGTCTTTCTGTAACCACCACTTTAGGTAGAGTAATAAGTATGGGGCTACGCTGTGCGCGTTTGAGCTCTGCTATTAATCAAATTATCCTTTCCCAATTATCTGAAATCTTTTGTTTCGCTATTTAGATTTCCTTTAACCGTTTGGCCCCTAAGAGTGACTGGCTTCAAATTTCTCCTTTCAATATCACCTTAGAATCAAATATAAGGAATAAGGGAAATGATCACAAATTTTAAAGAAGCTCCTAAGTGTCCAACACATTTTCCCTGTCAAAACCATAGGAAATGTAAGTAGAACAGTGTGGAGAATATGAACACTAATACTACGGTGTAAAGGGTGAACGTGGGGAAGTTGTCGGTATTGTCCACTGTTCTTTATAAATGGTCTTCAAAGATGGCCCATGATCACCCTTGGTTGTAGTATTTCGATTCCCTCAGCATGAATGGTCTGAATGTTTCGTGTTCAGGGTGCTCTTTCAATGAACGAAAAAATGTGCTCTGCTCGATATAAAACTCAACATATCCCAAAATACACATGTACTTACCACTTTTTTTTTTTTACGAATAGATATGGGGAATGTGAGTGACGTTAAATACTTCACGACAGCGGGGCGTAAGTAAACCTGAACTGATCGTATGGGCAGCTCGAATTAGCTCTTTGCGCTACGAATTAGAATGTCAAAGCCCTGAATTACAAAACATTACTAAATTTTTTTTCCGCTTGCGTCAGTATAGTTAACAATCCTCGCTCAAACGCGCGTTCAATATGCGATGGTATATAGCCAGGTTCGTTCTCTT